GACTCTAGGCCCGAAACGTCAGCCTTCCTGCTCCTATGATGCTGCTTGGCCTGCTGTGTTCATCCAGCTCTGCACTTTGTTGACTCAGATTCTCCAGCATCTGCAGTTCCTACTATCTTAGATGAACTCTGAAGCTTTCAATACTTGTGAAAGTGCTTCCATGGTAATCCATCCCAAAGGCAATCAATTACCTTGAGGTGCATTTACTTATCAATAATTGTCCATATAGTAATCTAGCAACGTTGTTTTCATTTCTTTGACAGACTCTACTTAATTTTACTTCCATTTCAATTACAGTAGAATGACTCTTAAAGTAAATTTTCTTGTCATGTTTAGCTAAGATTCCATGACTTCAGTAAAGATGAGCATGGCTTCAGGTCTGTGTGCAGTAAAGCATTTGCCAACATTGCTTTGGAAGTGAATTTGTTAACCAACCCAACCCTTATAATACAGGTTGCTTTCATGCTGTTATAGTGATTTAAAGATGGAAATTTACACCCATTAAATCATTTTTCCATATTTATGGAGAACATGCATTGCATTGAAATTTTATAGAAACAAAGGATATCATATTACAGAAGGTAATATCACACCATGACTCATCTCACTGATGCCAAATCGCTATGATACCCACTTGATCACATTCTCCTGCTCTTTCCCATCTCTTTTGAAACAATCTTCTTCAAATATTATCCTAATCCCTTTAAGAAAAGTATTATGGATACTGTTTCTTGTATTACTCTCCATGCAATTTTCAGTATTAGAAAAACTCTCCTAAATTTTATCTTTTCATTAATTATTTTAAACTTAGCAAAATCACATTGAAAATTTTGGGGGAAGCAAAGTACAATCAGATTTCATAGAAAAATTACAGAGAGAGACAATTGTTGTCTTTCAAGTTAGCTAGGCCTATTCTCTGAGTCCTTCCTCATAGCTTTATTTCTTTTCTTTGTTTAAATAACTATTAATTCCCTTTTGAATCCACATCCACCATACACTCAGGCAATGCATTCCAGATCCTAGCCATTCACTCTGTAATTGTTTTCCTCGATGTCTTTGGTTCTTTTCTCATTGGCTTTCAATATCCTGTGGTTCTTGATCATCTCAATACTGAGACAGTTTCTTCTTACGTACTCTGAATAGACTTTTCATCTGAACACTTGTATTTAATCTCCTTTTGATCTTTTCTGAGAACAGCTCCAATTTCACCAAGCTATTGACACAACTGTACTCCAATCTATTCACATAACTGAAGTCCATCAACCGAGGAATCGTTCTTATCAATCTTTTTTCCACTCTTTATGATGTCTTCACATCTTTCCAATCCCATCTAGAGCTGAACACAATACTTCAGTTGAGGCTGAACCAATGCTTTATTACATTTGCCATGACATCCTTGTCTTCATACTTTAGTTATAGAACACAAGGTCCTGTTTGCAGTCTTCACCGGATTCTCAAACTGCCCTACCAAGAATTGTATCCTTTTGTTTTGCCACACCTTTCTTCATTCTTACTGCCAAAAAACTTTACTTCACACTTTGCTGATTAAATTTAATCTGCTATGTGTCTGCCTCATTCCATCAGCCTCTCTACATCTATTTTAATTCTATCACTACTCCCCCACAGTTTGCAATAATTGTTTTGTCATTTCTAAGTTGAAATGTTGTCATGTGCACAAATGACTAGGTCAATAATATGGATCAAGGGCTGGGCATTCTATGCCCTTGCTCAGTGTTTTTTGGGTGGGGGTTAGAATGTAATATAGGGAGATAAGCTTGCCTACCATCTTCCCACCTAGCCCAAGCTCATTCCAACAACACAGAGACAGGCAGCTCATCTACCTTATGTAAGTAAATAATTAAGTGTCAATTGAATTAATTGAAAGCTCAATTGAATCCAATAATATGGTTGGCACGGACAATTGGATGATAGTAGGATTCAAATTTTTAAAAATATATAAAATGGTGAGTAGAAAAGGTCGGGGGGGGTGGTTATCGTCGGTAGTTGCCCCTTTCCCATTGAGTCTACCCCTCAAAAAGACAGCACGCCCACCTTCCTTCCTACCCACACATTCTTTCGCCACCCCACTATCTTTCATGAGTTACCAAAATAACTGACGGTGATAGCCCCTGGACTATCCTGATTATGCTTTGTAAAGGCTTTCCCACTATATTTGCCCTATATTGTAGTTTGATTTAAATTCCGCAGGCAGAGTCACAAACAAATTCCCAACACATTGCATACAATGGTTGATTACCTACATGGTTGTCAAGTTCCTGAGTCCAGAGAATGCTCCACTTGGAATGATTTTCAGACTGGTGTATTTAAACATCCTGGATTTGGAAGAAAATAAGAAATTGTTAGTAACCCAATACAGATATTTGATGCTTGAAGTCATTCAAAATCCATATATATCCAATATACCAATGACAATAAATGAGTGCCCATGTATGGACAAGAGAGAGATTTCCACCACAGAATCCTGGGTCAACTTATTTCCACAACCACTGTGGAAGCCTTTGGCAGAAATCTGTGATTCAGCTCAGCCCAGAAGAATTGGAGAAATATAATTACCACCACAGCCAGAGCTTCAGAGTCATTTAGAAGCAAAGTTGATGCTCATAGTTGAAGAGGTCTTAAAATCTCAAAATGTTTGAGAGAATCTCATTCACAAATCATTGTTGATTTTTAAATTATTATTTATTCACAAGATGAGGGTGTTGAGGGTTAGGCCAGCATTTATTGTTCATAGGGCAGTTAAAAGTTAACTACATTGTTGTCGATCTGGAGTCACATGTAGGCTGGACAAGGTAAGCTTGGCAGCTTTCCTTCCATAAAGGACATTACTGAACCAGATGGGATTTTCCCAATAATCAACAATGGATTCAAAATTAGACTCATAATTCAAGATTTTTATTGAATTCAAATTCCACCATCCATCTGGCAGGATTCAAACTCAGATCCTCAGAACATTACCTGGGTCTCTGGATTAACAGTCCAATGATAATACCACTAGGCCATTGATTCCCCTGAGGCTTGTATAAGTCAATTTGCTGTGTGTACCAACAACAGGCAAATTTCTAATGCCCTGTACACTAGCACTGCACAATTTTATTACAGTATATGATCCAGCTGAGCGAACAAGTAGGGAATAAAGTTTTATAGAGTTACTGGATTTCCCAGGCTTCTTGAGGGGCTTTAGTGGTTATACATATCCTAACCTCCAGTCTCCAAATTCACAACAACAAAAAAGATTTCACTCCATGGATCCATATACACGTGAATGCCAATTCCTGAATGCAAGTGAAAAGTACTTTCCAGGATATTCTTATCGTCATATTCTTATAGCCTCACATTGCCACTGAGCACTATGATAATGATGCATTTGAGGAAGCAGAATTGAACTAGAATTAGTTGTAAGTATTTTAAAAAGATTGTTCAAACATTTGGACTTTTCAAAAGGTGCTCTATAGTATTCTCCTTGCATGATTTAATTAATTCCAATCACCTTCTACACACTGCCATGTTTAAAATTCAGAAGGTGGCCTTAAAATCCCTCTCCTCATATTGTCATTCAAAAATTACTTCAGGAGAAGAAATGGTTTATTTGGTCTCTTGACCCTACTCCGCCCATTCAATAAGTTCATAGCTAATCTAATTGCCTCAACTCCACTATCTTGCCTATTTTGCCCATTGTACTCCCGTATCAAACATTTAATTCAACCTTAAAAATTCCAGTGACCCTGCTTATTCTCACTCTAGGAAAGATAATTCCATAGATTAACAACTCTGAGAGAAAAAGATTTTTTTTTCTTATCTCTGTGTAAATGAACAGCTCCATTTTTTAAACTCTGTCCCCTCATTCTAGTCCGTCCCAAAAGGGGAAGCATCCTCTCGGCATCAAGTCCCATCAGGATCATATATGTTTCAATAAGATCACCTCTCAATCCTTGAAACTGCAATGTATACAGTTGCCCTCTAACCTATCCTTGTGTCAAGCAGCCTGCCTCCAAAATATGTTCTGCCAACACAACATAGAAAATCTCATGAGAGCAGAGAAGGGGTGATTTCAACTGGGTACAAATCTTAAATCTTTTGCACAATGTATGCATTTTATTGTAATGCAAGGGGCTGTAGTTGATACTTAACAAACTTTGTTTTGGAATTTTCAAACCTTCTGTAAGGTTCAGCCTGTTGGCGAGGCTTGAAAGTAGCAGTGTAACTTTGTGCGCACCCAGGGGTTTGCTGCATCATGAGTACTAAATCCCATGATCGGTGGATGTGGCATTTGACTCTGGATCCTCTGCCACAGGAATTAAATGTCTGGGTGGCTTTGCTGCCCCTCTGGCCAATCCATCTCAAGACCCTGATCCTTCAATGAAATGGTATTATGCTCTCCATGGACCTCCTGAAGATTCACAATATTGGAGATGGCCATTTGTGCAGATGGCTGCAGATCACAACAGGAAACACTTGGGGATGCCATCAGTGATGGCACTGAAACACACCTGTAGGAGGCTGACGGCCTGCTCAACAGTGGCGGTTGTGTTGCGATGGCAGCAGTCATTTTGCTGTTGTGCCTCAATTGTGGGGTTTTCCACTGGGGTTAGTAGCCATCTCTTTCCTGGCGATTCTAAACTTGTCCATTGGATACGTGCAATGGCGGAATAAACAGCCATAGCAGATGAGACTGCCTGAGGATGAAAGTATCATGACAACTGCCGGGAAACCCAGCATGCACCTGAAGGAGCCAACAGTTGCACAATTATTAAGTGGAGATCTTTCCTGTTACTGAACGATTCATTCTGAGACAAGCGTGCATTGGATCAGGGGAAATCCTGTCATTGTGGTAAACTCCACAGACCTCTGTGCTTGACTCTGTGTTGACGGTGACACAGTTGGATGCCGTCACAAAAAAGATAGCTAGATAGCATAGAACAGCTTAGCAATCTATAGTCACGTGTAGTTTTACAAAAAAAAGTAGTGGAAATTTTTATGAGTCGCCATACCACGGTGCGTCTAATAATGACAGAAGTCAGAGAAAAGAATAGAAAAGGTAAAAGGTAAAACGTTAAGACAGAGTTCATCTCAGATCAACTTCTGTATGGTGAAAGTCAATTAAGACAATCAACGCTGGAATACCTGGAAGCCCCTGCTGAAAAAGACCTCCACACTGACAAAATGACACACAAGTCAGCTACTCGTCCCTGAAAGGAGCCCAACGAGACTGTCTTTATTTTTTTCCTACTAAAGTACAAGACCTCACATTTTCTTACATTAAACTACGCCTGCCAAGTTTTTGCCCACTCACTCAACCTATCTATATCCCATTGTTGATTCGTTATGTCCTCCCTATTAGATCATGTCCTCTCAACTATTTTTTCTACTGTCAGCAAATTTACATACATTACAATATAGCCCGTTCTCCAAGTTACTAATATAGCTAGTAAATAATTTAGGCCCTAGGTCTTACCCTTGGGGCACTTGACTAGATACATCTCTAAAATCTAATAAAGGCACAGTTGCTAACTTGCTGCGGAATCCACTTCTTAGCCAATCTCCATGACAAAATCTAGTCCTAGGTCTCTGAAAATAAGAATAAATTACTCACCAATGGAATACCATATTTTAATCAACATTTTGGTAGCTGATATTGGATAAAAATATTCATTGTCAAATTAAATTTCTGATTTTCATGGTCAAAATCAGTGTGTCAAATCCATAGACAATACATATTTCATCCCTATGAAATATATTTGCCTAGCATTACTAGACAGTTGTACATTCTCATGCACTACTTTTCGCATAAGTAGTCATCACAGTGGGACGCTAGGACATATTACTTCAGACAAAGTGACATGAACTCAAATGTTTATGTCTGGCTGTGTATCATTGCCTTTCACGGCCATGCTGATTGCTATTGGTTAATTTATTGATCATTTTTATGATAAGTAAACAGGGACAGAACACAATGATCAAATCCCCTCCATATGAGTTGTGGTATCATGGTTATATTAGAGTGTGGCAAAAAATTATTCTTTTGCTGTGCTTGGCTTAAAGGAGAACCACGAGCATCACACAAGGAGGGAAATGGACATGGTGGGATTATACTGGTGTAACTAAATTCATTTTAAATCCATAATTTAAACAGAACAAAATGTCAAAACAAAAATGTCTCATTGGACATGTGATTCTCCCCATACAATGTTAATCAATGCACAGATCTAGGCAATATTTGACATCAGAACATGATAAGACAGAAACATTTCCCTATTTAGCTCATTTGAAACTCAATTGTTATACTAAGGTGCTTTGACGGGAAGTTTGTTGATGATGTAAATTACAAAGGGTCTGAGTGCTTTCCAGTACCCCAACTCAATCCATCAAAAGATGTTACTTTCTGTGAAAGCATTACAGCCAAGCAGGATTCTTCCCTCAACGAATATACATTTATTTGCAACTTAAGCAAGAAGGCATTGGGTAAATAAAAGTGGATGTTCTAGCTTTTCTCCTGGAAGCCCAGTAAAATTGAAATCAGTTATATTCTCCCTAATTTTGCACCACAATGAGTATCCAGTTTATCGTAATCCTTTTGAAACTTTTTTGATCCAACAAGATCAGCTCCATATTACAAGCCTTATGTTTGCAATTGAACCACTCAGGAAGAACCATTTGTTCAAATCAGATGTTTGAATTCACATTCTTTCTAGCTAGCTTGGCTTCTGATCATCTCAAACACTTTTGTGGCAAAGTCTTCTGTCTGTTCCTAGCCTTCAGAGGGTTCTGAAACAGAATTGCTCGGTTTAGTCAGATCTTTTGTTGCTTCAGTGGACAATTCCACATAGACTGCATTTGTATTTCAATTGTGGTTTTCACAAATGCTATTCATCTTGCAGCAAATCATATTTCCTTTTACCTTATTTTGGAGATTGATTTCTCTCCAATTTGTCCCATGTTCTCTGGAACACCACTGTCTGCAAATGGCTGCCCCGTGCTTCCGTTTCACTCCCTTCTGGCAGTTCGACAAGGTGGGGTGTCACCTTCACAATTCACTTGCCTTTGCAGCAAACTTTCTTGTCACTATTTAAATTTCTGAAAACCGTCTCTGCTAACCTTTCTCAGATTGATTCTCTTCAACTCCTGCAACCTCTTTCCTAGCTGATTGTCTTTCAACTTGTCTTGGGCCTTTTTTAAATCAAACTATTTTCTAAAGTTTCTCTCATCTTCTTGTGCCATTTTGTTCCCTCTAGGATTCTAGGGATTTTTAAAATCATTTGTTGGTTCTCCTCAGTTTCCCAGTCTCTGTAGACTACTCTGGATCCTCAGGACAAAA